TTACATTTTTACAAATATCAGGGAAAGTATGCGTCTTTTAACAAAAAGTACCGAAACAAAAGTTGTAGAGAATTAAATTATCTTTCAAATGAGATCAAAGTTATTGTATTAGGTTGAACGGAAAGTTCGTGCCGTTTCTTCGGTCTTCATCTCTTAGTAAAAAACAGAACGAACTTTCCATTCAACCCAATAGAATCTAAAGGAGAAAATATATGCATATAAAGGTATTTATACGTAAATTATTTTCTTCATTATAAATAGTTTATATATAAAATCATAATATCAATAAAAACAGAACGAACTTTCCATTCAACCCAATAGAATCTAAAGTAGAAAATATATGCATATAAAGGTATTTATACGTAAATTATTTTCTTCATTATAAATAGTTTATATATAAAATCATAATATCAATTAAAATAATAATTTCTTTTATTGTATAAAAAATAAATTATTTGATTTATTATTTTTACATATTTGTAAAAGCCAAAATGCAATTTTTCCTTACATTTTACGTTTTTTAAATTCTTTTTCTTAAACCATATTAACTGTATTTGTTAATTTAGTATTAAATAAATAACAGTTAATTTTAAAATAATTATTTTATTAATATTTAGAATCAAATTACATAACAGTGCATATTTGAAATATCCTTATCATTGGATTTTTCATAATTGTATACAGATTTCAAAAATGTATTATCTTTTTTTTTTACAATACTTGAAGTTTACGATTAGAAAAATATGTATAATGCGCTATTTTTTGCACTCATAAAATTATTTCTCTTAAAAATTCCACACAACCGATGAGAAAAATTTATTCTGTGATTTTTAGCTGTCTTTTCACGAGGAAGCACTTCCTCGCCGGTTGTACATACCATGATTTACCGAACACCCTGCGTAGGGTCATGTTTAGATTTATAGTCGTGGTGAACTCGCCGAATTGGCTTTGACGATAACGACTTTCGACCGCCCGGATTTCTTTCCTGACTCGAGATTCGACGCGCAGCGGTTTTGTTATGCCGTACGGGCGCGACGAGAACGACATTGCCGGAATACTCTTATTCCTGTCCAGTGTCCCGAGATGAATTGGATTTTTACGGCCGCGAAGTAGGCTAAGGAAATAAGGGGTGATGGTAGTAGAGAGCGGCTATATGTGGATTCGAGAAAGAATGAGCTGCGCCGGCTAGAATCGAATAACACACAACGCCTCTTCGCGTGGGAGCGCCTTACCCGTCGGAATAATAAGGACTTTATTCCCACGAGATCGAGAAAATCGATCGCACCCTATCACGTCCATCTCGCATTATTGCCACCGGCTGTTTCCGACAACTCGTCCCCATTCCTCTTACGTGACGAGACCTGAATATGGCAATACGCTTGACAGAACGCTATGTCTCAGTGTTCAGGGCCGAATTAAAGACCGTGTAAATAAAAATCCTTATCGACGAATGTATGTCACGTCTGCGTATTTTGGAGCTCTTCAAATCTATTACATGGCAAGGAATTAATTAAGTAAATTAATGGAAAATCTTTATATTTTGCAATTATATTTTACCTAAATATTCATCAAATTTTATCATTCTTTAGCCTTCATCATTCATAATTTAATTTAATTGCTCTTAATATTTAGTAAAATATTTACACCGATATATATAAAATAAGATATATTTGATGACGAAGAATATAATTATGATAGATATTTAATATTTAGATTGTTGTTTTAAGAAATTGTTTATACGTGGAAAAATAAAAATTAATATATTTTTATTTTTTTATTTTTATGTCAAATTATTTATATTTTTTAAGGCTTTTCTCAGTCTTGTATTATTTTTTATTTTGCACGGTATATTTTTTTAAATATAAAGAAAGAATTTTAAAAGATTGATATAAAAATAAAGAGATTTTCTTTATTTGTTTCCAAAAATGCTGCCGATGTAAATGCTTTGTCGTGCTGAGTGATTTCCACTGACATTGCTTTCATCCCTTTTGAGTTTGCAGAACCCGAACAATGCGATCCAACCCTGTAGATTAGCCAGTGTTCGCAAGGCGGCGTCAAGGTATTGAGGAAATCGAAAGGGAAGGAAGAGTGACTCTCTATGTGGTGACCGAAATAACACATGCTGATAAAATTACCTTGCTTGCAAAGCTAGAGAGAAAAAGTAGTTTCGGAAATTGTCTGTGTCTCTTTGCCACGAGTGAAAATGTGCGAAATTTCATTTATCACTTGTGCGAACGAATCGAAGGCAATTTTACCGTAACCACGATTGTAGGCATGCGTGCGGTAGTAAACTACGTATAAAAAAGAAATAGATAAATAAATAAGAAAAAGAAGGGAGAAGACAGCCTTAATACAGAGAGATTTGTGTTATCATTCACACAAATGAAATCATTGAGACTATGAGACTTCCATATATTTTGTTTGTTTATATATCATCTCTGTGACATTTATTTTCCTCTCATATAATCAATCATAGTAATATATAGAACTCGAATGCATTCGCGGTGAGTTATTCTAGAACGAATTTTCGCATGAAATTACAATCAGAGTTGATGGAATTGCGCAATACACAATATTCTTATATTGATTACTTTCGCGGTGGTTATTTTGATATTAATATGTGTATAAATTGTATATGCAATTACAAATGCAGGCGACACTATTTTTTTATGAATAAATTGTTTGTATAGACATTTTTTTTTAAATAAATCAAAGTGGTATTAAATTAATTAGGTATAACTTATCTTATTTATAATATAATAGTGCAATAAATCATTATATTTATACAAAACTTGAATTAATCTATTATTATAACTATTATCAAGAACAGCTCGATCCAAACTCTTTTGTGTGTAGAATAATCAATTTAACAATATTGTCAGAAGAATTTATAAACAAATGTTAATTTATTTTAGACATTCTTATAAAGTTGTTTTATACATTTTTATATACTTGAACACTTGCCTTTGAAAGTCGATGGTGCATGCACCGGGTTAATTTTGAAACGCATCTCTAATGTGCCGTGAAAAATTAATGTGTTGTTTGATGCCAGACGCAGCTATAAGTCGCGTGATAGCTTCCTCGACATTTAAGCTCGGCTCATCCTCCGAGGAACGATGTTCTCTTTCTCTGTGTTGCATCTCACCCAGCTCAAAGAGAACGGCATCTTAATTTCATCCTTTTAATCGTGGAGCTTTAGCCGAACTAGCGACTAAAATTACGTCTCACAGATATGCCTATCTTATACATAAAGTAATTTTTATTTTATTAACAATTTTTAGACTTAATATATATCCTATAATCAATAACTTTTTTAAAATTATTTTTAAAATGTAGTGTCGCATCGATTATTCAGACATTCAATAATTTTCTTTCAAATTCTAAAATGTATCTTTATAATTATTAATTATTTTAAAAACTCAGATTATATATAAAATATTTGTTTATTATTAAATATTAAATAGTTGATAATAAAAAGAATAATAAAATGTGTGTCCCTAAAATGTCCTTCTAAAATTAATATTTAGCTAATCTATGATTCTATAAGACTGCATGCTTATCAAAATATTAAGAATAATAGCAATATATTTATAAAGAAAATTGTTAATAGGTGAATAAGCGAATCATCTCGTATTAAAGATTTATATCAAACGTAAGAATACAGATTAAAGTATAACGTAAATTTTTTTATTCACAAAAAGTTTCTTTCTTCTCTAATTTAAAGTAAACAGCGAGACATCTCCTCTCAGATATGAAACCGCGGCTCGAGAGGGTCAACAATCATACAGCTTTTAAATTACTTCAATTCTTCTTTTAGCATGTACTTTTTAATGCGATAACGGAAATTATACGCTATTCAATACCACGTATATTCGCAAGTGCAATTCAATTTCTGCTAGTCTATTCGCATGATAGCGATCGCGCTAGTCTCAATACGTGACCCAATATGTTCGCCGAAGCTTAGAATACCTCGCTCGCTCATTGAGCTAGACCTATATACACGCAATCTGTCCATTTATTTGTTCTGCCTTCACTTCCGAATTGCCATTGTTATTCCATAAGTAATAACACTTTCGATTACATAAACAAAGTCAAAATAGCGTCTGTAATAGAAATATAAAATATAATTTAATAATTTTATGAAGTTATGTAACGTTAATAATTAAAAAGTCTTGACGAACTGAAAATCAAGAAAATATATAACAAGATTCTATATTAATTCCAGACATTTTTATAAAGATAATTTAATTTAGGACTTAATTTATAAACTTTCTTAGAAATATTTAACTGAAAACCAATATAACAGTTTCAGAAAATTTCGTATACGTATTGATATATATGATAATTCGCACGCGATAACTTTCCAAAAAAAAATATTTTGAAATATTTCTTCCAAGATAAATTTGGTGCATATCAAAATTTTTATATGAGAAGTAAGTTCTTTTATGTTACTATATACCTTTCTCATTACGAATCTTTTTTTTTTTCTATATATCATTAGGATATATAATATAGGAAACTGTAACACAACTTATATATGTAGATAGATTTCTCGTATTTTTATAATTTTTATGGATGTAAACAGATCAAAATGAAAGTAAAACTTAGAAATAGCAAATATTTATTCAGCAATTATAACAAAAGAGAGATAACATAAGATAAGTGTTTTTTTATACATCAGATTTAAAATTTTAATGTTTTCAGTGATACTCCTGTCCATGACCGCCGTACGTACCGCCGTGGTGATTATTACCACCGGAATTGTGAACATGAGCAAAAAATCCTCCGTGCGGATCGATATGGTAAGTCACGGTCCTGGTGTTACCGCCCGGTTCCTTGATGACGTACTCACCGGTGACCTTTTCCCCTGCGAGCAAAAAAAAAAAAAAAAATACTTGTAACATGAACCTGCGCAACCAGCGTTATAGCTAACCATTCGCCAGAGTGCATTTATTGTAGAGAATTAGAGACGCGTATCATCGATATTAACGTGATACATGTGTGTGCCGTCCACATATTATGTTACATGTCAATATACGACTACCGCCACAATGTTTAATTAAAATGAAGCGCGCGAGTTAAAGCGTACTACCCTGTAATCCGATCCCATTATTTATAACCTTTAACTATCACAGTGCGGCCATTGTGTTAGATGCAAAAAAAAACGTAAAAAGCAAAGAAAAAAGAAATAAGTTTATAAATGCGCCGCCTCTTCGCTCGACTTATTGCGATTCAGAGTTGCGCTTTCGAATATCTCTCGCCAAGATCCGCCAAACAAACTTTGATCGAAATTTTCAGAAACTTTAGCAACCGCAGCATTTTCCAAGCTATTGCGCAAACACCATAAAAAAATTCAATTTTTTGCATAGTTACATAAATTTTAATAAAATTTGTGTTGAATAATTTACGATGTTCAATTTACCGTTCAGAAATGACTGAAAAAAGTAAAAAGCATATATAAAATAATAATATTTATATTTCCTTTAATATAAGAACAAGAGATAATACTAATAATTAATTATTATGTTTCGCTTACAAAGCGTTTATAATGAGCTATCTTTTAATTCGGTGTCTGCAAACAAATTGTTATCTGACTTTATGTAAATTACAAATTCAGCTTACCGTCTCTGTGCTCTTTCTGTCCATGATAATCGCCAGTGTGATGATCCTCGACGCCATACGCGAACTCATACTTGGGATGCGCGACGTAATCTACTTGTTGATGACCGTGTTTATCGTGGACAATTATTTCCTCGCCGGGTCCTTTGATTGGTCCATAAAAATGTGCGAAACTGTGAGCGTGTTCTGTCATTCCACTTTGTATCTCTACGAAGATCAATGTAGCTAACAGTGGGACAAACTGCTGACAAAAATTGTTGCTAATTACATATATATACTCTTATATGAAAAAGGAAACGTATTTTAATATCTAATATTTTTCTACGGTCGGATATAAGTAGAGGCTTTTATTTTATGAATGGCGAATTGCGATAAACAAATTTCCATGATTTAATAATGTTTAAGATGCGAAAACAGTTGCCGTAAAATTAACAGTAAAATAACAGTTGCAATGAAGTAAAACGTAAGATACCAAGATACAATATTAAAGATATACTGAATGCAACATGGAAATTATTCTGTAAAAGCGCGCGCAGTCATCATTAAAATAGATTATTAAAAGTCTTAATATCAGATTTATTCATTTATAAGTCAAACTAGTCAATAGATATTCTAAAATATAACAACGTAAAAATATTCTTAGCATTTTTAACATTTATAAAGATTTATGTAAATATTAAATACTCAGAAATATATTGCAATTATAGACTATAATACTCGTCTTCGATCAATCATCAATTGAACATAGAGACTGATACAAACCTTTATGACCATGTTTCCAATGTTTTGTGATTCCTAAATGCGAATGATACGCTTGTCGGTATTGATGGAGGTTTATATAGCGCGCGCCAGCGATCGTTTTTGTCCGGAGAATTTCGCCACTGTTATTTAGTAGACGTACAGAACGGTTCCTGCGAGAGTGACAAAAAGCACAACGTGAACCAATCACCTTCCTATGCATAAGATTAAGTATTCCTGCGATGAAACGCCTTTATAGTGAATGCCATGCATGTGAATGCCTGGTTTCACTAGAGTCATAATCGATTTCGCTCTATCGATTGTGTCATAGAAGACTTTTTCTCAATGTCTCACGAAACAATTTGTTTTTATCATAGTGGGAGTCATAGTGGGGGATAAAACGCGAAAAAAATATTTGAATATGACGATGAACTGTTCAAGATGTAAAGAAAAGTAATTTTCTCACACAAACACATACATACAGTAGTGTTGATTTTTTATTTGTCAAAAAATCTAAATTTTTTAAATAATTTGTTCTTAGATAATTATAAACATTTCAGATCATTTTTTAGGATTTTTTAGATAAATTAAATTCTTTTATGATCTTTTCAATACTAGTTTTTAATTATCATTTTTTTTTTAATAAAATAATTTGAGTCTATTTGATTTCGTATAAAATATTTAATTTTGATTATTTACTAAATAAATCTTTCTCAAGAAATAAAAAGTTTTTAAATGAAAATTAAATAAAGATGAGATATTTACAAGAATACTAATTAAGTCAATTTTAAAAAATATACTGATCTATTATACATTATATGTAGCAGAAATAGATATCATATCAATGATTTCTTTTGTGCAGATCCGCTAAGATATCAATTTTTAGATAAGTCAGAGAGAGAGAGAGAGAAAGAGAGAAAGAGTAATTTTGATAATGGAATAAACATTGTATCTTTTTCCGGAAATAAAAATAACAATTATCTGTTGTTAAATTATTAAGATCATTTAAATCACTAATTACTGTTTAGTATCATAATGGTTTCGCTATCATTCTTAAGATTTATGTAACAAGTAGCTTCATTATCGCAAAATTTCTCATCACGTTACATCGCGCTTAAGCCACGCGTTACAATAACTGATCGACGCCACAAATGTGTTATGTGTGTTGCCATCGTGAAATCTAAATCTCATATGATACGCTTGATACCAGAGATTTAACCTTCTCATCCATAACTCTATCGCCGACAGAAAGACAAAGTGAACGCATGTTACCGGGCATATCCGATGCACCAAATAAAGTAAAGCCTTCGATTGTTCGATTGTGTGGATCAAAAGATACTTCTGTTGTACGTTGTTAAAATAAAATCGGGCTAAAAGCGAGACAATTGGCATGATCTTCCCGCTAAATATACCGTCACTTTTCGCGAAGCAGTTTCAGTTGTTTATTATATATTTAGTATATTCTAACTACCCTCGAAGCTGTCGCATGCCCGAGAAAGAGACTGTTTCACGCAGTCAACTCCGTCAATCCGTCCATTTGCTTCAGTAATTTGCGACCGTATCGATCCGCGCCGGGCGTTGCAACGCGCATTTATACGCGGAACGTTGCATCGGCTTCGTGCGTGCGCGTATGTATGCACTTATGGGACGTTAGATTAATGATATTCAAGGTTTACGTCTTCTTTATATCATTTAATCTGATTTAATTTATTATCTTTTGTGATTATTTGACTGATTCAATATAATGTTTGCGCTGGTTTTTACAAATATAGTTTTGGTAAAGCAGTAAATTATATTGATGCAGTAATAGTAATTATCAATGTTATGTTTAACATGATTTAATATTTTATGCCTAACCTAATATAGCTGAAACGAGTAATCAGTAGCCTGAACTCACTGTACCAATAATTAATATAGATAACATGGTCTTACAATAGATTAGTGATCAACGGCAAGAAGCCACGAGCAATATGTTTGGCATTACAGTGGCTTTATATAAGACAGTGAGATATCGAATAAGGATATCTATTCGCTGGAAAGGTGCATGAGAAATATTATTATACTTCAATAATATAACTAATGTGAAATTTAAAAAATACGACCATTATATTATTTCTCTATTAATACAATTGCCGCTTATCGAATAATTATTAAATTCTTAGCATTAATAACTAAAAATAATTAAAAAATTCAATATTAAAAAGATAATGGAACTTTTAGTACAAAGTTTATAATCGATATTTATTATTTAGTTTTATAATTTTAGCCATGAGATCTGCATAGCATCTTCTAGTGTACTTTTATTTACATATATCATTTATTTTTTTAATCTTTAAAAGCGTTCGAGACAAAGTTAGTTTTGCTTTTATTTCCAAAATAAAAGAAAAGAAAGTTTTATCCCATCATTCATAACATCACTTGCCTTCTTCTTTTATTACTACTTTTATTCTATTATTATGACTATTTTTTTATTATTATAGTGACGATAGCAACAGTAACAATTCGAACTGATTGTTAGACGAAACCGAGGACGAAGATTATAAGCTCGGAAATGTTGTTTCGCAGTCAGCTTTGGGCGCTCGCTCAGAGAAATTCAACGTTTCCATCTCAACGGAAACCTACACAAACGTAGTCTCCCCGCTAAGAGAACTTAATAGAAATTGTCGAAGCGTTTGCGCGATGCGATTATCCGCGTTAGAAACCGACGAGATTGGCAACGAGATTGGCAACGAAATTGGCAACAAAATTGGTCGGGTCCGGGTCGGTATAACACAATGACCAACCGATCTCCTTATAGAACGACCCCAATCCCGTTCGTCGCGATTGTTCAAGCACGGAATTTCGGCTTTCTCTCTCTCGACTCGGCAATCGTTTTCCTGCCTGCTGTCGGTGAATTTTGCGCTTCTACCGCTTTTCGACAGCCTGAGCCGGTTGCTGACTCGAGAGGTCGAAGACGCGTGCGCGGAAACGTGACTAGATAAAAACATGTTGCGGCCCCTGCTGATGAGAGCGATCGGCCAACTCGCCGCATTTAGTCAGCAGAAATCAAGCATGAGTATAGCCGCTCTGATGAAACGAAATCACGCTGTTGCGGTAAAACCGGGAGTGAATTTCGAAAGAGGATTTTACCTCGAAAATTAAAAAATGGATCCTGATATTCCAACGTTGATGCAATTTTGATATAGAAATAGATTGGAACACCATATATCTTGTTAGACATAATGTTCGCATTTTCTTTGATGATTTTAAAATTTGCTATATATTTTTTATTTTATAATATTATTATGTCGCGTTCCCACGCGAGGCGTGAAATTGTAGATTTTGAAATGTGTTTGATTAATTTTATGGCATATAAAAGTATTGAGAAAGTTTAAGTATACAATCGAGAATATACTCAATAACTTTGGAAGTAGATTGACTAATTAATCAGAAGTTTTTTAATTAATTTCTGCACAACTATGGAAGAAAATGCATAATTCGTGGCATTCTTGACGATATATTTGTCAAAGTAATATAGAGTAATAACATAGTTACTTCTATCGGTGTCCAATGCACATGTAAATAATATTTCTTATACAAAGCACACAGAAATGGTATTTACGCTGAATGAAGATATAATAGAAACTCTTGTGTTCCTATACGTTTCAATTAAATTTGCGTTCACGCAGACATTTACACGTTTCCCGGGTCGTATCGGGATAGCTTTGCTGTAAGCTCTGTGCATTTCATTCGCCGACTTTGCTACCTAGCTTCCCAACGAGAATGTAATAAACTCTCATCCTCCTTTCTCAGTATCAGTCACAATTAAATTCAACAGGCGCATGCGGATATTAGCGACCGCGAAGAAACTCTTGCGTTTTTGCGGAGCGAGCCAGAAAAGTGGCGGATGTACTCAACAGACCGCAAGTTCGGGCAAGAAAACAAATCTGTTCCTTCTTCTCTCCTAGTTCTAATTAAGAACCAAACTGGTATCCAATTACTTCGAGATTCTAATTAAGAGCGCGAGATCGAGTTACATTGCGCTCCCTCACTGATCCTGAATCAGTGTTGTGCAATACATACCTGGGGTTGTTACATCAATACTTTGCAGTAATCTTAATGTTAACAAGATACTATAAATAATTAACAAGATACTATAAATAATATCAAGAAGATATTTTTAATAGCAATCTTTAGCTGTTTAATTTTATTTTTAATATTAAAAATATCAGAAGCGATACAAAAAATTAGCCTTATAATATTGTATATATACTATTGATATATTTATGCTTATCTTTCTAAGATACCTTCTCATAATGACGTATCATTAATCTGAAAAAAATGTAATATACGTTGGAAAAATTTTATTCCGTTTAAAGCAATTCATCCAAAAATTTAAGCAATTATTTTTAACCTGTGAGAGTACAAGGATAATTGCGCGCGAATCTATATTTCTTCCACCAACAGGTATAATTGCCTCTTCAAGTGATCGATTTCACGAATTAAGCGAGAGAGACATTTACTTACCGCATCTTCCTCGTACATCCTGGGAAAGTCCTTAACAACGACAGCGACGAAGACAACGTGGACAATCAATTTCTGTAAAGCGACGAGGAACAATTCAGGCGTCCTGTGTAAGCGGCCGGGAATGTTGCCCGTGAAGTACCGTTCGCTGTTAAAGGCAAATTGGTGGCCGCGAATAATTGGAAAAGTTAATCCTTTAAATCTAATCGAAAGGACCACGCGCGCGGAAAGCAAAATTCATTTTCATCGTCTCTACGACGCTCCGCGTGGTAGAAAAAATATCGGAGGGGGCGAAAAAAAGAAACCTGCTATTATTCTTCCGTCCCCGAATATGTTCGCCAGAACTGATTTGTGCCCCGAAAGAGAGAGAGAGAGAGGGAGGGAGAGAGACGCTTTTAAGCGACCACATAAAGACCTCCAAAACACGCCGCGCTCGTACTTTACGGTCACGACTGCGCGATACTTTGTTCAACGCGGCATGGTACCGGCGATTCGTTTTACGGAAGCTTTCGCGATCCGCCCTTCGTCGGTCGATGAGATCGGCGAAACTTGAAATTGGATCGATCCGACCGAGTTGTAGCTGGGGGACCGACGCCCGCGGCCAGGTAAAAGTGCTGAGCCCTTCGTGTTATTCTTCACGTTATACGTTGTAGTCTTTTGCCCGAGCGCGGAGATCATGAAAGGTTAATATTCGTCCACTTCCCGCAAATTGGATATCAAAGAGAGAGCTTTTTCGCGGTAAAATGTGCCATTCAAAGAAATTTCTGGCTACTTGAAAGATGCGACCTTTATTATAATTTCATTATTAGTGTGGAATATTTTTCGATTTACTACGTACATTAAATATTGCTTTAAATTATAGTATATTATATTTATTTTGCTTCATTGTATTATTTTTAATCTGACCTTTTTTACTCACTTAACTTATAATATAAAAAAGCATCTCTGCGAGAGATGAGCAAAAGATCGATAAGTTTGTATTGTAACGTTTTATAAATGATCTTATGAAGATGGATAGAGCATTTTTTTATGCAATCTTCTCTCACTAAGTATAACCATTATACAATATTGCTTTTTTAAGTTCTTATTTAATCTATATATTTTAACCTTAAAGAAATTGCTACATGTACTGCATAAATATTATAGGCAAGAATGCTGAAAACTTTAAGTAAGATAATGCCATTTTTCTAATTACGGCAATACATTTTGTGGTTTAATTTCGAAACTTTTAAACACACATATAAAATTTTTTAGAAAACAATTTATTATATATAAATATTATATTGTATATATGTGAGGAATGTACACTCATTAACATTATTATATAATATTTCTATAATATTTTTATCAATATGATATTATAATAATTATTTGCAATAAAATTTTAATGTAATTACCATTAGTATTTAAATTTATAAATCACGATTTTAATGTAACATTTATTATTTATTAACATATGTAGAATTTTATAGAAAGTTATTTATCATTTAGAGCTAATGATTATTGACTTTAATTACATTAACACTTATATTTTTTATGTTAGCAATTGATTTATAATTTTGAATTGAATTTGATTTATCGAATATATTATATTTCCCTCTTAATCGTTATTTCATCGCTTTATATAACGGTTGTTGAACTAAAACTCATTTTTAGTGCGGAAAATTTCGCGCATCGTAACATTTTCTACAGTAATACTTTCCGGAATCCGCAATTATTCCGACATCACCGACCGTAACGTGCGCACAAAAGATTCGCAACACCTTCCACACAATTTTGTTCGCAAGAATACGTAATTATAAGCGACGTGTGCATGCCTTCGACCGACCTGCTAACAACAGGAATTTCCGTTGCGTTCAAAGCGTCCGCCGTAGTGTGTAACACGTTTCGCGTTCGTGCCCGTAACGTATCAACTCGCGGTAACGAATATCATACTATCGACTTTAGTTTACCTTCACAAAGGCCATGCTTCTTCCTTTACGAAAATCGCCGATGGACTTGTTTCAAGAGCGAAAAGAACGGGGATCGTTTTATATAGCGACGGCCACCCCCACGAGTAGCCAAAAACGGTCCCTTTTAACCATTAATTCGTTTGCCTGCAGTTGGTCCCGATACCGCGCTGTGAGAGGTGTGTGACCGGTCGGGTCAGGGAAATGATAATAATTCTTTGAAACAACGACCTCCCGGCACAACCCCGATCTTCGTCACTGTCAGATGCGAATTGCCGTAGCGCTTTTACGAGGAAGTAATGGCTTGGAAATAATAAATGTATATAATATATATTAATTTTCATGTCTATTTCTACTCTTGATCTATCAGCGCTTTTTATTGTACAAACAGTGTAGGAATAAATAGAAGACTTGGATATAAATTCTTAATGTCTCGTATACTTTAAAACTTTCTTCAAATATGAAAAAGAACAGTTTGTAGTATACATCTGAAAGAAACTGTTTTTACTAGAACAAGACCTTTTCTTACTTGTAAAAGAATTCTTTGTAGTTCTTGAATAAAAAATTTCTTAAAATTTCTTAAAATATTTTGATATTGCGATATAATAACTATTCGTAAAATTCGATGATTTCTAATTCGTTCATTTCAGTTGAGTTTTATCGATTTGAAGTTCGATACAAAAAGGAGAGAGAACTATGAACATTTCAGAGTTGTAAAATTAATAAACGATAAAACACAACCGAGATTGTAAACAGCAAAACAAACGTATGCCAATACATCGGTTGAATAGCCAGATATACTGCAATATAATTTATTGAAAATTTATTGCGTTTCTCTCTCTTCCTGTCTTTCTCTTTCTGATTTGCGTGCACTCGTGTGATGTACGCGACATTGATAGAATTGTAATCTGTCAATGAGATTGTATGTCAAATATCTGTTCTAACATAATGATCAATAACAGTACCTTTTGTCAGGGCTATGAATTTCGAGCATGATTATATTAATGCGTTCATCCAGATAATTTCTGATTGGAATAGCTAATCAATTTCACGCGAGTTTGAGAAATAACTTGTATATTTATGATAGACAACTTTAGAAATTGCAATAATAAAAGACGACATACCTCAGAATATTTATTGTTAAAATATCACTGATATGTAAAGTAAATTAATTAAAAAACAGATTAAATTTTTATTTTATATATTATATATATAATTATTACATTTTCCTATAATTTTAATCTTATTCTTTTGAATTCGAAAAAGTTTTAACATGTCTTTTTCACATGCCTTTTTTTAAGAGTGGATGTATCTTTTTGGATCTTTCAATAGAGAAGATTATATATACTTTGTAGTAATTATTGTGATATGCAATTGATTTCGACGACATCTTGTGGAATTATTTATTACATACTAATTTCCGAAATAATCAATTAGTATTTTTCATTTGCGCTACCGTAGAAATAACGCAATCACAATGCAGCGAACCAGAGTTTTTTGCTCGCATTCTCACAGAGAAAGCGCCAGCAGAATTTTCGATTACTCGGCCCGTTCTTGCATCACGCAATTTTCCAATGCCATTGCTTTTCCGACCCTGTGCAAAACTCAGAAGCGACAGGCAGATCCGTTAATTTCCCGCGCGTAGTCACAGGACAACATGATAACAAGCGCAATATTACTTACACTTGATGTATATGCATAGAACATTATGCGCCGCGTTAATCTTACTTCGAAATTTTATTATTTGCGTTGCGCAACAAGCTACATACAAATTAATTATTCACAATGTTGTTTGGCAAGTTATCCGCGAAACTCGTGATGGAAACTACTGCCACCAACGCGAAAGGTAATACATATGCAGCTTCTAATTACTACCAGTTGTGTATCGCAAACAGAATAATTACGATCGTCGAGCGAATTATAAAATTGACTGTCACCAGCAAAATATCGCGCAAATTAAACGAGCATTGAACGAGTGAAAATATTTTATCACAACGAATTATTATTTTTCGTGCTATGATAGCCAATCAAAGTCACGAGGATTATACGTATCCAACGTAGAGAGTGTTTAATAAAATAAAATATATATACTTTTGTTTAATTACAAAATTATAATTATTCAAAGAAAGTACATATACATATACATATTCAGAATATGGACATTCTTTACGTAAGATTTTACATAGTATTTCGCTCGAGTTTTGCTAAATACTCCATTTGAAAGTTACAGTCAACTGTCGCTTAAATAAAATGAACGTAATTATGAGTTAAACAGCAGCTCTCACATTTATCGACTATACAATTTTCTTGCAAAAAATGATAAATTTTATCCTAAAAGCATAGTAAAATTAATTATCGAAGATTATTTGTATATATTACACATAGCAAAAATAAGTTATATTTCAAATATTTCTATCACCGTTATATAAAACAGCATATATACACAAAAGCTTTTCTAAATTATTTTATATATATAATTTGATAAAACATATATACAAAAATATCAGTGTTATGTATGTAATCGCAGAAAAAATATTATGTGTACATATAGATTTCTTTCTATTTCAATACAATTCATTTTGTGCCAATTCTGTACACATTTTATAGTTTCCACATAAAAATAAATTCATTGGCAAAAGATTCAATTTTAATTATACTTTGTAAACACAAATTGTTTTCATGAAGGACTGATGAAATCATATAGGATGGTTTATTGGAAATAAAATATTTGAATAACTCTTGTAAATTTAAAGGTACGAAGAATATTAAAAATGTAATTTATATAATTCAAAGAGGCAAATGTAAAGCGGGAAGAATTTTTATGACGCTGAATAAATTCGTTTTAGTGTCAGCTATAAGGTATAAGAAAGGAGAGAGTGAAAATATTATTTTTCTATTTAAAAAGAATCGTGATTGATTTAAAACATTTTTAAATAATAATCATAATAAATCTTGCATCACACTTATTCTTCAAATTATACAAATCATATAAATTACATCTTTGATATCTTTCTCGTATTTTTAAACTTAGGGGAATTCTTCAGATATTCTGTTTTTGATGGGAAATTCTATGTATATTATATTATAGATTGATGTATTTATACATGTAGGAGTGAAAACATTTCTAATTCTATATAGAATCTCTCACGTAAAACACATTTTCCGTTTCAACCTCTTGAATACATATACACTTCGCGAAATCGTAACACACAACCAAATATTTAAACATCGCGATTGAAGATAAACTCACCAGTTTCAATCTAGTAGCTTCAAAATATACGAAAACATAGTAGTTATTTCTGGGATAATTTTATTCTTATAAATTGCATTAGAATGACTTTGAAATGAAAAACGCACAATATTAAGAGAAAGTTATCCGTAATACAAACTTATTCTATACCGGTGACGAAGATTACTGGCTGTTCTATTAAATATCTGTTTGAATCGATACAGAACGTGACAGCAGACATGATACACAATGGATGGAAAACAAGCAAGAATTTGAAACTGATATTGCTTGCGAGACGAACATGTGAGAGAATGACAATCTTCATACGTGGAAAGCGAGAGAAAAATCTCGGTTATGATGCCTTAGGGCATGTAGGATGGCATATCAGTGCCATGCAAATGACACTGCAGAAAACATGCATCTACCGTACTTTCTATGCCCGATTGTATATCATGTACTACGCAATCGGTTTAAGAAATCCTCCGCGTTATTACATTCTGCAATCTTTTTTTATTTTTACAAAATATAAATGAGATTATCGACAGAAGAGTCGCGGCTTGACGGACATATCGTAAACGTTCACAGGGCATGACGTTGTAATTGCAGGAATCAGGGCGTTCCGTATGGAATGAATCGATAGCGGAGCGGTCCACGTCCCTTCCGAGGCTGTTACACCAGACTCCACGTCTGGAACTCTGCAAATAATTAAATACTCTTCGTAACAGCCAATTTCATCATAAGCCGGGACGCATTGACACAGCAGGCAGACGAACTTTAAAGACTTTGTAATATTAACGCTCTCTGGATTGGAATTTAATTCTCGACAGACGAGGCCATATTTTCTTCGTCGCTTATCAATACTAGCAACAGAAAATGATATCTTTTACTATATTCTGATTATTATACTTCTAAATGTAGTTAACTCAAGAATAAATGGCTCTGAATAACAATCCAATTTCTAAAATTGGAATTAACGAGAATTAGGTGCATCTAAAAACAGATATATAGAGATAGAGAAAGAAAGAGAGAGAGAGTGAAATTTCGAAACTATGAAGCAGCTTGCAAAACTTTTAGACGCGATGCCCGCCTGCCTATGTAACTGACTTAACGTCTTTGTTAGTCCGCGAAAACAAGGCATCATAAACTGATGATACTTGGTAGGCACTTACGTCTTGAGAACGGGCGGTGCATAAAGAATGACGGGATTCACGAGCGGCGGTTTCAAAAGCACAACGTCGACGCCCGAGGAATGTAATTCGCTTTTTAACGCTTCGGCGGCACCTTCCACGGCCCGACGAGATGCGCTGAACGCCACTAATCCGGAGCCCGTCTTGCTGCCGTAGCTCGTCTCGGAGTCACCCAAAAGAACGATGCGGCCTTGCGGGAACAGATATTTTTGATAAGTAGCTTAAAGAATGAATAGCACGGTTTTTCTATATCGCTGAATAATCAGTCTCGGATGCTTTACTTTATTATACGAGGCAGAAATACGCTATTATGCAATATCGCGGCTTTCAAAGGAGCAGCTCACTTTCTCGAGAAGCAAAAATTTTAACTCTATGTTGATTAAAAAATTTTAATTGCAATATTAGCAATATACTTGAAAAAATATTTCTCGTTATTCAGAAAATAATTATTTTCTTTGAAGCGTAAGATGAAAAACTCTTAGTCTTTCATATAGCGGCGGACAATGGTTTCTTTAATATTATAATAAGTATATTTAACGAACCTCTCTTAATACGCAAAAGAGGAATGAATACTCTGGCTGTTCTGAGTGGAGCGACCAGATTATGACGCAACATGGATTCCCACATCGAGCTGGTCTGTTTCTCTATGACACCTGGCAATACCAAGCCGCCCGTGTGCACGACCGCCCAGAGACCTGCAATTAAGTGAAGTTTAGCACTTCGACGTACTTAAAGCGATCGTCTTTGGATGGCGCAGAAACGAAGTGGTCGGAAGTTTATTTTACCAAACTTAAATTTTGCTCGTCTCGATCTCGAGCTAATGATAACGTTATGTACAGCCAGTAACAAGTTGCGAGTAATTGCGAGTAATTACGATTCCTAATGATATTGAGCATCTGAAATTGCATCTTCAATTATAAGTATGACTTTTACGACCATGAAAATATATTTCCATTTACCTATACTAACACTAACTAACATTAAATAAATGTACGTATTCGATGCGCTTCTTTTTTCATTTTTTCGCAAGAAACATGTTTGCCTGACAGCTTCGCGGAGGTAACAAATAGCAGAGATCTACGAATCTGACGTTTGCGCTTATTTATTCTGCGCGATGAAAGAAATATTATACCGTGTTTTTCCATTACACTTCTATTGTATTATACACGAATATCGTGCGAGATATATCATGTAATCTATGCAAATGCTTGTCAGATAAAAATTTTGTTAAGATCATCATTGAAAGAATTAAAAATTTATTTAAAATTTTCAAAAATTTTGCTTTTATCTCTTGTCTTAAATACTTTGTTCCAAAATTTGTAATATCATGCAAATACATATACATAATAAACCATAGAGATAAAAAGAAAAGGCTGTATTTTTTATATTTAGAGTATTAATAAAATGGCATATATAAATATATGTGTTTTATAATATTAAATTTATATAAATTTTCACACATAACTTATGAATTATTATATATGACCACAAACTATAAAAATTAAATAAGCAAATTGTCTATAGGCTAGCAAAAATATTAAAAAGATATAAAAGTAAGGCTCTTACACGATTAAAATCAAGTAAAATCCGAGTAAAAAGGCAAAAGAGCCACGCGCAGTTTTTAGGGCGCAAAGGTATATAATTTAAACCAAAAAATAAATTAAAAAATTAGAGAATTTCTTTAATTACATGATTCGCGAAAGGCGGACGTTTCGGCCCTTTTTTTGGCCATCATCAGCGCAAATAATACTAAACTCAA